CTGTTTTGCTGTCATGCTGACAAAGTATGTTGTTCCATATCTCATCAGATTCTTTCCAGATTTGCAATTTAGATTTGAATTGGATTTGTAATCTTTGATTTGATTAAGATTAGCTTGTGATTTCTTGACGATTTTGAGCGTATATCCAGATCAGATCTTTCGTACACGTTCAGAAGCTTCTTCCATCAAATTGGGCTTGGATCCATGGCTTGCTGGTGATGATGTCAACAATATGCACTGCTGACCTCAGCTGCACTGCTACGGCACTGCTTTCCGATGCTATAGCACTGTCCTGCAATAAAATAACAAATGCATTTAAATGTTTCCAATGCTCAAATTGTATCCAAATATACGTAATTAACATAATTCTCAATTAAATCATGAAATCATAGAATTCATTCATTAATCATATAAAATCAAGAGAATTATATGTAATCATAGCACCAAAACATCACAATTAAGCCCAAAATAACTCTCTTTTGGAGAGTTATCAGGCATCCCTCTAACAACATCTTACAATGTATTGATTCTACTTTTTCAACTGATACAGAATCTTGTGAAACCTGTCATTACTCAAAACAACACAGATTTAAATTCAATAAAAGTCTGCATATTTCTCATAAATTGTTTGATCTCATACATTCTGATGTTTGGGAACCTACTCCCATTGAGTCTCTAGATGGATTTAGATGGTTTGTTTCATTTGTAGATGGCAAGTCACGAAATGTCTGGATATATTTAATGAAGTCCAAATCTAAAGTTAGTCAAATATTCCAAGAATTCTATCAAATGATCAAAACTCAATATGGTTATGAAATTTAAGTCCTACGGACAGACAATGGAACTGAGTATGTAAATTCATCACTTCAAAATTTTCTCAAGTCTATAGGAATTGTGCATCAGTTGTCATATGTCAACACACCACAACAAAATGGCATAGCTGAGAGAGAAAATCGGCATCTCTTAGAGGTGACTCGAGCCTTACTATTCCATGGCAATTTGCCATCCACTTATTGGTCGTTTACTGTCCTTACAATTTGTTATTTAATTAACCGTACACCAAGCAGAATCTTGGATTACTGCTCTCTATTATCTGTTCTTCTTGAAAGGTTTGTCAACTTAGCTCATCTAAGAGTATTTGGGTGCATTTGTTATGTTCTTCTTCATTCCGGAAACAAATTAGAACCCAGATCCAAGAAATGTGTCTTCTAGGGATATTCTTTGGTCCAAAAGGGCTACAAATGCTATGATCTCTTTATTAGGAAGCTGTTTATCTCAAGAGACGTTACATTTGATGAAACATCCATGTTCTTTTCTTCCAGGAGTCAAAATCAGGGGGAGAACATGATATGTGATTTTGATCCTCGTGTGCCAATTACTTTATCTGAATTTGAATTGGATAATGTTATTGCTGAAGTAACAAATCGGCCTATACCTGTTGAAACCAACAGACCAGCAGTATAACACCTCGCGTGCACCGGGTGTATTAAACATACATATGATAATAGCATAACTCAATAAATGTGGAAGCTAACTTTTTCCAATCACGAAACATATTATATAACCAAGTGAATTTACTTATTCTTTTTCAAAATAACTCCTGTATATAAATTGCAATAGAAACTATACTGAATAACCTCATATCATAAATAAGTATTAAGTCATGGAACTACAACACGTAGACCAGACAATATCCTGATACAACCTTACATCTCAAGTCTGAAATAACATAACTTATACCAACGTGGCATGGACAACCCCCATGCTCACCAAATACAAGAACATCTGGCAAATCTCAAATACAATAACCATCAAATAACAAGACATAACATAATCTAAATATATCAATAAAGCAGCAAGCATAAATCAGCTCAACTCCGGCCTCCTGCCACCAGAGGTCTCAACCTCAGAGGTATATGTACCTGAAAATGTGCCACACACGGGGTGAGATCTCTAACAAGAAATCTTAATAAGACAAAGGGTCCTCCAGGACTCTTTCGCCCCGAGCTCACTTACAAGTATAGATATAAGATTAAAAACATTAAATACGATGCATGTTCATGTAAGGGCAATATAGCTATGACAATATATCCAAATGCTCAGAACTCATGTAATACAGTTCATATCTCATGTGATGTATGCAAGTGCGGTTCAACTGGCCAGGGAACATGATAGGGTTTGTGCACGTCTATTACCTACCAAACATGAGGGATGTTGCCTCATGCCTTGCACACTAGGGTTGCTGTCTGATCGTACAAGTACTAACATCACATTCATACATTACATCAATAGGTATATCAACATATCTCAGGCACATATCAATGCATATATCATTTTCATAAAAGCATACCATGCATATAAACCACCCTCCCATAGAGGTCGGTGGAACAAGCAACAGATCAATCCGAGGACATGAAAGCTTACCTGTCAAGCTAGTATTACTAACTAGAAGTCCACACAAGTCCACGGGTCTCCAAACAGCACAATCACAGTCAGTTTATACCCGAAATATAATTAATATTCATAGTCTAGAAGTTCATTGCATTAGGACAACATTTCTTTTTTTGTGTAATGACCGTAGGCTTCTCTCAAAGCCATAGGCATTCAATATTATTGGTTCTAACTTAGTTAGATCATTACAAGGGTCCAAAAACTAAACACACGCTTCTGTTTGGGCAAAACAGCTTAAAACATGATTTTTCCCAGAATATGCCGATATTTCTCGGGGACATATCCGGATATCAATATCCGAATATCACAGACCTAATATCCGGAGATCCATATCCGGATATCACAGACCCAATATCTGGATATCCATATCCAGATATCACACACCCAAATATCCGGATATCCATATCCGGATATCACCAACCAAATATCCGGATATTTCGCAACAGAATGTAGTTTTGCATTTTCGCGAAGATATCCCTTCAAGGTTACATTTTTAACATTTTCAGACGTCCAAGCATGTATTTTTAGGTGTGTTATACCTTACTAGCACTTAAGTTATTAGCTTTCACTCATTACATGCATCAAGGTTCATTCTTTATATAGAAATTCAAGAGCAAAGGTTGAGGCATATACCCAAAAGCCTTGCAAGCAGAAATTAAGGGTCTTTAAGGTTGGAAAATCCTCTTTCAGATTCTGTATAAAGAGGAGTACGAATTGAAGCTTCCAAACTTGGCCTTTTCTTCACAAAGCTCACTCCTTGGAGCTTCAATGGTGGTTTAGAAGCTCCCACACAACTCAAACTCAAATGGCAGCCCCACACTCCCCAAACTCAGCAGCTACCACTCTTCAAGAAGGTATTTTTCTGCTTCAAGATGGCCACTTTCATGTAGTGCCAAAGGTTGATCAACTCAAAGAAAAAGGAGATGATGAGTGGAGGTGTTCTTGGAGAGAAAATGATGAAGGCTATGCAAAGGGGTTCAAGGCAGCCATGAAGAATGGGACTCTACGTAGGAAAATGGGTGGAAACATACCTAGGTTAATGTGCCACTTAGTATTTATAGGCACATTAAGTTTAATATGTCGGTATTAGCACTAATAGCTCCGCTAATCATTTTAATCTCAAACTTCATATTCTGAACCTAGTCATTTTTCTAGGAATTATAATATTTTTATTATAATTTTCGCAGCATTTTCCCGGTACGCGTTTTATACGTAGCCGGTATAAGTTCTGACATAAAATCTCATTATTCTTACTTCAAACTTGATATACTTGACCTAGGTATTCTTCTAGAAATATTCATGTACTTATTATAATTTTTTGGGATATTTCACCAGCACATATTTATACCGTGAAGCAGAACCGGTATCTGCACTTTTCGTCAGAAAAGCGACTTTCAGCGTTATTAAAACCCTTGTGATAAGTATTATGATCTTTCCATATTTATTCAAAGTCATTTGTAGAATTATTTCTCAAAATCATAATTAAATTATTTAAATTCCTAATTTAACGGTGCAGGTTCTTACAAGCAGCTTCTCTCTCACTGAATAATAATCAACAAGAACAATACGAGCCACCAACTCAACAGCAGCTGCACAAATATAATAGGACTATAAGGCCTCCAAACAGATTTAGAGATTTTTGTCACGAACACTATTGCATATCCCATTCAAGACCATGTCTGCTATAACAACATCTCATCAAATCACAAATCCTTCATTACTGCCATTGATGAGCATTTTGAACCTGCAACCTATGAAGAAGCTTGCAAAATTCTTGAGTGGAGGAATGCAATGAATGAAGAACTAGCTGCCCTTGAAAAGAATCAAACCTGGAACATTGTCTCTTTACCTGAGGTAAAACACTGTGTTGGCAGCAAATGGATTTATAGAATAAAATACAAAAGTGATGGCTCCATTAAAAGACACAAAGCAAGATTAGTGGCCAAAAGGGTATACACAAACACATAGTGTGGATTACAATGAGACATTTGCTCCTATAGCAAAAATTAATATTGTAAGAGTTCTAATGTCAGTGGTTGTTAACCTCAACTGGCCTTTATTTCAAAAGGATGTAAAAAAATTCCTTCATGCATGCTGAACTTGAAGAAGAGGTGTACATGGACCTTCCTCCTAGCAAATTAACAGAGATTCCTTCTGGAAAGGCGTGTAAACTAAAAAAGGCAATTTATGGTTTAAAACAATCACCTCGAGCTTGGAATGGAAAGTTAAGCTCAGCATTAATGTCTTACGGTTTCAATAGGAGCAAATCAAATTATACTCTGTTTGTCAAACACTGCTCCGGATTTATCATTGTCGTATTAATTTATGTTGACGACATTGTTATCTCAGGTAATGACCTCAGTGAAATAAATATGCTAAAACAGTTTCTCAACAAAAGATTTGACATCAAGGACCTTGGACCTTTAAAATATTTTTTAGGCATCGAGGTTACAACTTCCAATAAAGGCTTGTTCATATCACAACGAAAATATATCCTGGATCTGCTAAAGGAAACTAGAAAACGAGTCGTAAAGCTTGCAGATACTCTAATGGAGTATAACAACAAGTTTAAAGGGGATTCCACTCCATTGTCAAGTCCCCAACAGCTTCAGAGACTAGTAGAAAAATTAATATATCTTACCATTACCAGACCAAATATTTCCTATATTGTGAGTTATATAAGTCAATTTTTGCATGCTCCAACCAATGGTCACATGAACTTGGTTGACAGACTCCTCCGCTATCTGAAGGAAAGTCCAGGAAAAGGGATATGGATGAAAAAGAATCATAACACTAATATAGTTGCTTATGCAGATGCACATTGGGCTGGAAACCCCATTGATAGAAGATCAATATCTGGTTTTTGTACTTTTGTAGGTGGTAACATAGTCATATGGAAAAGCAAGAAGCAAAGTGTTGTTGCAAGGTCTAGTGCTGAAGCAGAGTACAGAGCTATGGCCTCGGCAACAAGTAAAATCGTTTGGTTACGAGCCTTAATGCAAGATCTAACAAATAAAGCTTAAAAAAAAGGAATTATTCACGAGATATGAATGGGATATAAAAGTGAACTGTCATTCACATTGCCTCAAATCTAATTTTTCACGATAGAACCAAGCATATAAAAGTGAACTGTCATTTTGCACGTGAAAAAGTTCAAGAAGGAATTATTTCTACTCCCTACACATGAAGTGAAGATCAACTTGCTGACATATTTACCAAGCCTCTATTGAAACACACATTTAAAAAACAAAAGATATGAGCCGGATCCAACAAGAATAATTTTTTTTTTAATTGGCCATTAATATGACATGTTGTTTTCTCCATTCATTATAATATAGTTCCAAGTTGAATCTAATAGATATATTTGATCCAACTTGGAGGGGGAGCGTTGCAAGTAAAAAAGATATTGAAGAAGATTATAAAAAAACAGTAAATAACATGTACAGTAGATAAGATTACATGTTATCTTACTTCGACTGTAACTAGGATTATAAAAGATAAGTGTTATCCTTATCATAAATTTAAATTAAAAATATTGTTAGACTCATTTTTTAATTCGCACATATCCTTATCATACTCTATTTAAGATGAATGGAATCCCCTAGAAAAATAAGAAAAAGGGGGAGAAGTTAAAAGGGAGGATGTAGGTCTTATTGACTGAACCTCCATATATTCTTATGTTACTTATTCTTTCTTTACCCTTTTTATTTAATATCTACGTTTAGAAGATAAAGAGTAACTACAAATGATAAAGTACAGTTGGAGGGGAAAAGTGGACCAGTAAAAGCCCAAATTGAATTGAAGAAACTTAAAGATTTCCAAACAGATCCAATAACGCAAAAAACAACAAAAGGAGACACCTTGTTTTTTACTTTTTTTTTTTTTTTTTTTTAATCCAAAACCTAATGACAATATAGAAATCAATGGCATTATTTATGAAAACTCCACAAGACTCTAAAACACCAAAAGTCGGTTCCTCCATCTCTTTACTCTTCGGCCTTGAATTTACTCCTCAACAGCAAGGGGCACAGACTCAGCCTGAGGTCACAAAAACATAATATAATATTAGTAAGTTGAGGATTCAGATTCAAATAAGAGAGACAAGGAAGCAAAAATTCCTTTTGTTCAACCGCACATATAGTTCTGCTTAAGGGAATTAAAACTAAAATTGATAGCATTACGCATATCTTTAAGGAAAAAGTCAATTTTAATTCATAAATGAAACCATTGAATTGAGTAAAAAGAGAAGACATATATACCAATTTGCGGTACTTGAGGGCATAGAACATCTCCAGATAGCGTTTGCTCTCACGGCGATCAAGGTTGGTCACATGCTTCCAGAAGCCATAGACACCAGTGAGAGTCAGAAGCCTATCAGAATAAATTTGCCATGTGTACCTGTGGAGCAAAGGCCAAAAATAGAAAAGCTCAATTACACAAAATCAAAACTCTTATGCTGCAACATTTAGTGTGATAATGATTTAGTGAAATTTCAAGTAACAAAGTGTGATTAAGGTTTAGTGCAATTTTCTTACTTCTCATGAATACGCTTCAGACCTCCATGTGAGATTTTGTCCCAGTGAGATGGGTCTGCCTTGCTCTTCTCAAAGAAGTCAACAAGGATCTCAGCAGCACGGTCACCATGGTAGGGATCAATGTGGTATCCAGATGTTCCATGCACAATGATCTCAGCAGGACCACCATTGCAGGTTGCAAATGTTGGCAACCCACAAGTCATGGCCTCAACAACAGTTAAACCAAAAGCTTCATAAATAGCAGGCTGAACAAAAGCACCCTTTGTGTCACAAATCACACGGTACAGCTCCCCATTCCTTACTCGGTTCATCTGAGAGGAAATCCATCTGAATTGCCCATTCAACTTGTAGGTCTCAATGAGACCATACATCTTCTTCATCTCAGCTTTCTCTTCCAAGTCCTTCGACTCCTTCCTCCTATCTCCGGCAACAACAACAAGGTTTACCAGCTCCCGGAGCCGGGCATTCTTGCCGTACCACTCAACAAGCCCTGAAATGTTCTTCACACGGTCCAACCTTGCCATGGTGAAGATGATTGGCTTGTTGCGGTCCTTCAATACACATCTGTTACAATGCCATTACATTAGAAAAATGTTCTATGCCAACATAAAAAATGGAAGAAATGAGAAGGGGAGAAACTAACATGTGCTCCTCATTCTCCACTGAGCTGTATAGAAGCTCTTCAATCTCAGGGTGGAAGGATGTCAATCTACGCTTAGTTTCAGTGTATGGGAAGTAAATGTCCATATCAGCTCCGGGAGAGACAATGTTGAACTTTGGATCAAAGACATCGATACCGTGAACAACACGGTAAAGTCCTGGAAGGGTGAAAGCAGTGTGACTCTCATACTGTCCAACAGTATCCTTGCTGTAGGAATACAAAGGGATACAAGAATTTCAGTAAGCTAATCAATAGATAGAATATTTGCATTAATAATGAACATAGTGAACAAAGGGATAACCTCACCTTCCAGCAATCTCTTGGAAGGTACTGGTGATAATAAAGTCTGTGTGGTTCATTGCAAAAAGATCCGCAGTGAATTGGCATGAGAAGTGATATTTTTCTTCAAATTTTTTCCAGTAAATGTCAGACTCAGGATATTTGGTCTTCTCAAGTGCATGAGCAATGGTACACTGCAATTGGTGTTAAAATATAGGTAGAAACTTAGAACAATTAGTCAATAAACTGTAACAACTTCAACTAGAAACTAAGTGTCCATGTAGACAAACCTGAGTTACGCCTAATTTATGTGCTAACAAAGAGGCAACGATGTTTCCATCACTGTAGTTTCCAACAATCAGATCTGGCTTGCCTTGCAACTCTTTGGCAAGTTCATGAGCAACATCCTAACGACAAGAAATAGTTTCATTGCATGTTGAATTCAACTGAAAACATCTAAATGCTTGAACGGTGTCCCAATAATGAGTTAAAAATTCACCTCGGTGTAAGTCTCTAGGTAGGGCCAGACTTCGAATCTTGAAATCCATTTGCGAACAATTCCCTTCTCTGTTCTAAAGGGAACTCGAAGAATGTGGCAATATTCAGTACCAAATACCTTTTCAAGACGTTGGCCACAAGTAGTTCCTACCGCATCAGGGAGAAGACGGGTGAGCTGCATTTAACAGAAATCACAGGCTGTAGTTAGAGAAATATCTATACCTTATACATAAGTAAGCTAATTCTTCACACTACACTATGACATACAATGAGAATACGAGGGGTGATATCCAAGCCTTGTTTCTTGATGCGACTGAGCATCTCATTCTCCAAGGCACGAACTTGATCCAAGATGTAAACAACCTGGATTAGAGAATCAAGAAGAGCATGTCACACAACCTTGTACTATCATGAAAAATAGCACAAAATGTAGCATGTCATATGAACTAACCTGTCCACCAGTATCAGGGTATCCCAAGACATTATCTTGGGCAAAGTAACCATGTGGTGAAAGGATAACAACATTAAAGACCATAGGGATTCTTCCAAGGAATGTCTCAAGGGTGCAAGGGTCAGGTGCCTCAAGAAGATCCAAGAGAAGCTGAATCATCTCGAGGACACGCTCAGCAGTGTCACCCCACCCTCTCTCCAAACCAATCTCCTGGAATTTGTGTTCAAATTCTGAGTAGGGTGTTTCGGGAGCAATTGTGACCAGGTAATCTTCTGCTTTTCTCAAAACATCTTGGAGAGAATTCAGGTTTTGAATTCTGTCATTCAACATCATAGTCTGCAAGACACAAACTTTTACTCAGACAAATCAAAACAAATACACAAAACCTTAACGATTTGGATAAATAACAAGTATACCTTTCCATTGTAGCTGTGAAGCCTGAGGAATTCAAGCAGTGGTTGCATGCTCTCCTTGTCATGGAAGAGCTTAGCGGAAAGATGGCGGTTGAGGAACTCAACGCCATTACCAATTGACTTGTTAAGAGTTGGTCGGGGAAAGGATGCATTAAATGGTTCAAAGTCCAACTCAAGCACGAAGTTTCCATTAGAACTGCATTGAGAGAGAGAAGAGAGAAACGTGTTAAAATTTTCTTGACATAACAAAGGACCACGCCCTCATTGCAGACAAACTCTGAACTGAAAACTGAAAAACCTCACCTTCCCTCAACAAGTTCCTCCTTGAAGCGCAGAAACTCAGCAGCACTCAGTTCATCAACAACAAGCGCGTGCACATCCACTCGCAGATACTCCCAAACACCAGGCCTAGGACGAACTGCCAGAGCAACAAACGGTGGCAACACTATAGCTTCCTACAAAACATAAACCAATGAAATGAGAAAAAAAATTCAACAAAACACACGATTTATAGCTAGCTTCAATGTAAAACACACACACACAAAAAAAAAATGCTACCTGGGTAGATCTTAAAACTTCACCAAAGGCCCCATCAAGTAGTTTTTTCCTATTCTCTTCAGGGATCTCTTCAAACTCAGCAATGACCTGATGGTGTTGCAGGATTCCCTTGCCCTTGGCTTCAATCCTTTTAACACCATGAGATTTTGAGTGTTATGTTACATCCTTGTAACAAAATCAATTATCAAGAGAAAAGGAAAACACTTTTATAAGCTACCTTGACAGAAGAGCCACAATTTCATTCCTATGACCAGTGAGAGTTTCATCAAGCCTCTCGCGGAGAGAGTGAGAACGGGTCAGACGATCATTCGCCATTGCTTCAGAAGATCCTCAGGGTCAACTTCAACAAGAAAACCAATACAAGAAACAGATCAGAATTGAATGCAATAAGTCACCATAAAAAAGGATAAGAACGAACAACCACCAAAAGTCAAAAACAGATAACCAAAACAATGTGGGGAAAGAAAAAATTCCAGAAGACTCGATTGGATTTCACGACCTACCCAACCTCACCAACTCCCTGTCCCAAAAAAGTATTAATTGCAGATCCTGTACCTTAGTTGAACTAAGATCTCTACCTTACACAGTGCAGGGGAATAATAGCAAGTTGCAGTTTCTTTAACCAGCATAACCATTATTTTTTTTAATAATTTCATTAATTAGAACACCAAAAAAATACCTTAAATTTAAGTGTTTGAAGTTCCATTTAAAAATATAAATTGATTAATGAGAAACCAACAAACAAGATCTTAGTTCAAGGCCAGTCCACAGACAAAAACAGCGATGTTTTTATTTTATTTTATTTTATTTTATTTTTTAACCAGGAAACGTGTTTGAGTGTAAAGTTCCTTTTACCAGTAAAAGTTGGAGGAAAAAAATAGCAAAACGACAGAACAACAGAACCGTATTCCCAGAAATCGAGCATGAACTGCAGAATAACAAATTCTATGTATCCCAAAAAAAAAAAAAAAAATAGCAAATTCTGAGTAAAATAAGCCAAAACTCAACGAAGACAACACCCCCAAAACAGAGGAAAAACTCTCATGTCCTCAGACATGGAGATCGTGAAAAGTACTAGAGAGACCCATGATCATGTCAGAGACTCTGATCCAGTGGTTACAGCACAATGACTGTGCAGAAGAAGCTAGATCTTTCAGAGTGAAAGCTGGGGTAGCAGTGTTGAACACCCAAAACAGGGGAAAGTAAGCATGTAAACAAAGATGAACAGTACGAGAACAAGAGAGAGAGAGAAACTAACATAAGAATGAGAGAGAAGAGTAAAGAGGAAGGAAAAAGAATACCTATAGAAACAGAACGAACGCAAAAAACGAGAGGGTGTAGGAGAAGAAGAAATGAATGAATGGAAATAAAAGAGATGGATGAGTCAATTTATAGACAAGAGCGCGAAACAGAAAAGAGAAACGTATAAAAGAAAAAAAGGAACCAATTTTCAACAAATTCGCCAACCAAGACACTCTCTCTCAGATTAGTAGACAAGGGTGATTTTGTAAATGCACGAAGTAAAAATATATTCTACACGTAGCTATATACATTGAAGGTTTCTTTTTTCCACGTATCTATACAAGATTTGATGTTTATTCCTTATATGAAAAACTACTCTTATCTTATATGTGATAAAAAATTTTCTATACATCCTTCGATAATTATGTCATCTTTTTCTTTTCTTTTCTTTTTATTTTTCAGGTGATGGAGCCCACAAGTTTATCTCTATGGCATGAGATAACTTATCTCCTTTAACATGAGATTAATAAAACCCTTTCTTATATACATAGAAATATATAGAGTCCACGTTTACATTTTGATCTTCTCCTCATTTTGACGCATATGATTTCATATAATTTTATGTATATATAAGAGATAATTTTATCTCTCACGACACGAAAAATATTAATTTCATGTACATATCATAATATTAAAATGGAATATTTGTGATTATTTTCTACTTTCTTGATTCTGAAAGAAATAAAATCTGAAGTTAGTAGAAGAAATTACTTTATTTCTTTAAATAAACAACTTTAGTGTTTGAGCTCTTTGGATCATATATATAAATTATAATTTATAAAGTGTACCATAAAAGTTTGATTAATGGGAAAAATGTGTATCATTTTAAAGGATGTAAAATTATGTCATTTTAAGTAAGAGAACGAGATAGATAAAAGAGGAAAGAAAGTGGACAAAAAAATATAAAGGTGTGGGTCCTATTTTTTTATGAGAGTAAAAAGATATAAATTGTGTCATTTAAAAGGATAAACACTTTTCTCTTGATTAATTAAGGGAAACATTTGCTTCTTTTATAAGAATTTTGTTATAAGGAAAATATTTATGCTTTAAAAGACAGATAAAATTATCTGAGATAATTTGAAGTGAACTCCATTATATTTTTCTCTCTCAACCAAATATATTTTCTTTCTCTTTGATTTTGTCTACCTGGCAAGGACAATATCATCTGTCTGTAGAAATATTTTGTCATTTATTATAAGGGTTTGCTTTTTCTGCCGTTATTGCAGATAAGTTATTTACAGTAAGTTCAATACGACGTCATTCTGAGACAGAAATTATGGTGTTTTTGTAATTTAAATTTATTTCAAGATTATTATAGTCTTTAAAATTATAATTTTCTAATCTTTCAATCACAAAACGACGTCATTTTAAAAATAAATGCAGATAACTTATATGCATTAACTGCAAAAATATTTTTCTGTTATTATAAAGGGGAAATTAGTCTTTGGTGTCAAGGTATTAATTAATTATAGTAAATGGGAAAAAATCTATTTATCTCTTCATTATTTGAAAAAAAAGTTATTTTTTCTCATTAAAAGTAAATGATTGATAGAAAAGTAGTTACATAATTACTTAAACTTTTATTATTTATACAAAAATAAAATATAAATAATAACTATTTTTGCGCATGTTAGCATGCTAGTTTATTACCTGCATTCTATTTTATTAATTATATATTATTATTTTTAGTCATTTTCAAAAAAAGAATCTTGACCTACAACAATAAAAAAGAATGGAATATTAATCATCCAAAATAGGTATAAATGGACTTATAGTAAAATGAAGAATAAAAAAAGTATAAAAGGGTCCAAAAAAAATATCACAATTAAAAATACGGTTATTTTGCATGAAATATTTTGGCTATTTAGTGATACCAACTTTAATAAAAATGCATTGCAATTGTGTTCATGATGCATTTTTATATTCAATCTCAAAAATTTATCGAAAATAGTTCAGAAACAACGAAATAAATAAAAAAAACCAATGTCAACTTTAAAAATTAAATAAATATTTGCATTGATTATAATACTAAGTTAATTTCGGGTGTCGATATCACTGATTCAAGTCTGTATACGTAATGCGTATTTTAAGGGAAAGAACATTTTACCTAAAATATAATTCAAATATATGTACATAATGTAAATATGTTAACATTTTTCTTGGTCGAAATTTTTAGTTGTCCTCTTTTTCTTTTTTCTTCCTTTAATTTTGGTTTTGTAGTGATTAGCGGTGGGCGCATTTTGGTGTTGATCACAAGCAATAACTTTTTGGTGTTACACTGTAACCTACTAGACCCCATGCCTAGTTGTTGGATTATGCGTTACTAAAGGTCTGGCCCTGTCTCTTGGCCACTCAAATTAGTAAGCACTAGCATTATATGTGCACATAACATAAAAAAACAGCACTCAAAAACAAGAGGTACCAATACTTAAAGTCGTAGGGGTAAAATAAATACTTGCACATGCAAATATTAAAAAAAAAAAAAAATCTAAAGATTTGACGTTGTAATCTATAAGTGGAGTTTCACTCGTAAAGGGAAGAGTTACAAGAAAAGGGTTCAATTCCTCGTCCTCCCGTTTGAATTTGAGATTAAACATTAATTATCGTCTCTATTTACGCTAAAGAGCGTACATTAATTATTGGAGAATATTAATCTCATGTTACATAAGAGTATTTCTTTTATGTTACAGTGAGAATTCAAGTGAAGTCCACTATTAAAAAGCAAAAAAAAAAAAAAAAAGGATGCGATTTTCGAAGTGAGAAAAAATAAGATAAGTATCTCATGTAAATTAAGAGTAATATTTTACTTAATTATTAGTGCCCACCTTTCCTGTGGTTTATTTGTTCTTTTCACAAAACCACTTTTCACTATCACGGCTCTTCTCTCTCTTTCATCACTGTCGTTTTTTTAACTCATATATCCAGTTTTTATCTAAGTCCAGTCGTTTAATTTTTTTTATTTGATAATTCGGTATCCTCTTTGTTGATAATTAATTTGGCACTTTATTATAAAATGCATTAGTTTAAGCAGTTTTTTATTTCTGTGGTGCCTGTAGTCTTGGACTTACCATGCCGCTTGAACCTTATAGCCGTCGATGGGTTTTTAATTTTTTAAGTTTACAAGGAATTTGCATCCTCTTAAAGCTATTAATCATATAAAATTATTTATGAGAAATAATATATAATAACTCTAATTTATTAATCATATATATATATATAATAGATTTGTGGTTGGTAAAAGAGATTCGACGACCAAATGATGATAATTAATTAACACATGAGAGTTGAGCACGTGGAGATGAGAGCATGTGTTTAATTTTTTTAATATTATTATTAGAAGAATTTAAAACTTTGATTCTAAACTCATACTAAACTTTAAATTAATTCATAAAAAAATCTATAAAATTATGGAGAGAAATCCAAAAGAGATATTGGACCCGTAGAAAGATTTATCATGTCGGAAAAGCTAAAGTTACAAACAAAATTTAAGATCCTCGATGGACACGGATGACGTGTCATTCCACTGTTGGAGGATCAAACAAACATTAACTCGAAATAGAAAAAAATTTGTATACTCTCGTAAAAATGCTTTAAATAATATAGCAATCATATAAATTTATTTTATTAATACTTTATTTTAATTAATAAAAATTATAATTATATTTTAATCTATATATTATAAAATAAACATTTTTATATCATTTTTTCAAAACACATTATAATATTATTTAATAAATTTAACAATATAAAATTGTTAAAAAATGTTGAGTTAAATAAGTTGAACTCGAGAATATCCGAATAATTTCATAAAGTGTGCAAAATAAAAAAAATAAAAAAAATAAATATAATACATTATTTAAAACATATATTGTTAAAATTTAAATACAAAATAAATAAATAAGAATTAAATTAAAAGATCAGTTTAAAGTTTAAACAATGATTAAAAGATCAGTTTAAAGTTTAAACAATGAGTTATATTTATCTCAATTTAAATGAGATAAACAACTCTCTTATACACACAAAAAGAAATTGGATCACACTATTTTTTTTCTCCTCTTAT